AAAGATTTGACTTGAAAGGATTTCTTTTACGGTTAAGAGAAAACCAGAGAAGCGTATATATCGCCATTTTGTAAATAATAAAACACTACCAGAAAAAGAAAACAGTCATGCATGTTTATGGATAAGTGTATGTAAAAGACTGAATTCGAAGGAAAACATGAATAGCTACATACCTGTTTGGGGAAGGGGAGTAGGGATGTGAAGTGACAGTAAGGCAGACATTAAGGGACTGCAAGGAGCCATGCAAAACAATGGAGGGAAAAAGACAAAACATAAAACAACTGACTATTAAAGAATTTGTATGCACATATGTAAAAGTGTTACAACTAATTGAGCTTCGCTAAGTAAAAGTGAGTAAACCTGGCTCAACATATGGTACTTTTTTTTTCTCGGATGTGAAAAAAGACGTTATTAAAATGAATCCCAGAATTAAAGTTTCAAAAGCTTAAAGGGGCAATTCTATGAAAGTGTCCCCGAGTATTTAACGTGGTGCAGCGCACCAGGGTTGAAAACCCTGCAGGCAGAGAAATGCGATCTAGTTAGGCACAGAGTGGGAGTTTCAAATATTATCCAATCAGGGCAGTTCTGTTTCTATAAAGAGAAACCGGGACTAGCTGACAACTTGCAAATGGACCCGGGGTAAGTCGCCGAGCATGAACGATCTGCAAGTCAGAGCTCGACTGTGATGTCGCTGCAGGAGGCGTGTGAGGCCTACCTGGTAAACTCAAGGACACCAGTCTGAGTGCCATGTAAGCCAGAGGATCACCGTCATTCCCAACGTCAGACAACTCTTGAGCCACATCTCAAAAGCATTTTTCAGGGCCACCCAATTTTGGAAAAGCCGATTTATCAATATTGCCCAAGAACATAATGTCCCCACTTTGGTCTCGCAGAGAACGCCAAGGAAATGTTGAGTTGACAAACGAGCACATAGTACACGGACCCAGCCTCAGCCACAGGTTCAATCGCAGCTACAGGCAGTTACCACTGAGGACGAAATGTTTGGGGTGTGGGACTTCAGGATCGGTTCAAAAAGCTCCCCCAGGTATTTCTAACGTACAGGTAGAGATGTAAGCTTCTGGTTAAAATGAGACTAGGGAAATAGTTCCTGAGCGTTGAAGTTTAAATCACTTGGGAGACCAAAATCAAAACAACAAAAAAAACCCACCAGCTTCCTCAGGAATCAATTTACAAATCCCACAGCGAGAATTTAATCTCAAAAGAATTCTGACGTGGAGCAAGGATTGGCTTAAACACACTGCATTTGCATGGGGCTGAAATTTATGAAACTTGTAAGACAGCAGAGCTTGTGTACTTAAAGCCCTTTCCCTGAAATAAGTAGGTGGCTCTTAAAAGAGCCGTTGGGTTATTGGAAGCAGCTTCCAACCAGAACCTTTACTTTTTCTTCGGTGCTGCCTTCTTGGGCTTGGCAGCAGACTTTGGCTTGGTCACCTTCGCTTTGGCCGCTTTGGGTTTCACAGCCTTGGCTTTAGCGGGACTCTTACCTATTTTCTTAGGCTTCACAACCCTGGACTTCTTGGGACTCTTGGAGGACTTCTTTGTCGCCGCAGGCTTTTTAGCCTTCTTCGGAGTCTTGACACCTTTTTTACCAGCAGCCACCCCGGTGGCCTTCTTGGGCTTCTTAGAACTTGTTACCTTCGCTTTCACTGCTACCTTTGTGGCGCTGGGCTTGCTATCCACCGAGGCTACTTTCTTGTTGAACTTGAAAGAGCCCGAGGCGCCGGTGCCCTTGGTCTGCACCAGAGTGCCTTTGCTCACCAGGCTCCTAAGGCCTAGCTTGATGCGGCTGTTGTTCTTCTCCACGTCGTAGCCGGCGGCCGCCAGCGCCTTCTTGAGCGCAGCCAAGGACACGCCACTGCGCTCCTTAGAAGAAGAAACGGCCTGCACAATCAGCTCCGAGACTGACGGACCCGCGGGTTTCTTCTTAGCAGTTGCTGCAGCCTTCGCAGGCTTCTTCGCTTTCCTGCCAGCTGAAGGCTTCTCGGGGGGAGTGGAAGCAGCTGGGACGGGCGGTGCGGTCTCGGACATGACGGAAGCAAAGAAGAACTAAGAAAACTACTAGGACCTGACAAGGCAGTAAAACTCGAGCGGCTCGAGCGCGCGGTATTTATAGGGCGAGGCTGCGCTGTGATTGGTGCGCGCTGGCGCCCGCCCCCGGCACCCTAGCGTCCCCTGCGCGCCCCTCCGGGTCTCCGAAGGCCAATGCCGGCCGCTGGGGCCTATAGGCCTTCTTGCCAGCCGCTTGCACTGAGGCACCCAGACAGCACCCTGCCCCCCTCCTCCCCCATCCCCCCCGCTGGTCGCCTAATGGAGACAGAAATACTAGGCAGGAAAGGGTACGGCTCTGCCGCCCATTACCATCAGAGGGTGCTACTTCTCTTTAAAAAAGCAGGGTTTTATCCTAGGGGGAGGTGGGGTGGGAAAGAGCTGTAAAGAAGGCAATCACGTAAGAATCCAAGGAGTTTCAAGGAAACCTCGCCTCTAGGAAGCAATGTCAAAAGGACATTTGTTTCTAATCTGCAATAAATGCAAAACGTTGTGTCTTGAGTGACTGGGGAGGGACAGCAGAAAGCGAGGTGATGTAGGCCTGGTCTGCAGGTTTGGGACAAGTTTTCATCGATGCCATTGCCTTTCCTGGCAGCGCTGAGTGATGTGTGGTAGACCCGAGACGTCGGTGCCCTTGGTCTGAACCAGCGTGCATCTATTTGGGGCAAAGAATAGTAGAAAGCAAAAGAACTGGCTAACACCGCAATTAACAAGCTGCACAGGTGGAAAACAGCACGCAAACAATTTCTGTAATTGCAACTTGCTTCTACAGTTTAATGCACTTAACGAACTTTTGACCCCTTTTCATCCTCACAACATATCCCAAGCTCAAAACCTAGCACAAGAGAAATATCAAGTAAGCACTGGGTGGACTAAACTGTTCCCGGAAAGGCATTGCACGCGGGGAAGTGTGTGCGTGTGGGTGTCGGGGCAAGGGTGGGGGATACGTTGCTTTAGTGTGAAAGCACAGCCCGGGGATAACATTTTAGGGCAGTCTCGCTTTAACTTGTTTTTGGTTGTACAAGCGTCAACAATGCTAAAACGACTTCAGACTGCGAATCAGGCCAACTACTAAGAGAATAAAAGGCCCCTCTCACAGCCCTGTTCTGGATGACATCCCCTCACAATTCTGCCCTGGGATCGCCTAGCAGCAGGGAGAATGCAGTGACGAGTCATTCCCGCGCGCGCGACTGCAGTTTTCAAACAAGTCCGCACGGGCCTCAGTAACCGGAGCTTCCCTGGTAGCCCTCAAATAACATAAGAGCTTGTTTCCGGCTTGTGGCCAATAACGTAAGGGTTCCAGACGCACGATTCGTCCAGCTTCTTTACCACCCTTTGTTACTTGTTTTCTTGAGAGTCTGTATTTACGAAATACATTACGTAATTTCTAAGAATTTGAAAAAGGACAGTTGGAACTATGCGTCTTAGTTAGAAGGATAGTCATTTATAACAGGTATACAATCTTTCTCCAAGGTGAAGTTTTCGTAAGTGAAAATTTCTGGAAAGACATAAACTTTTCTTAGAGTAATAAACGTGGCTTCTAATCAAACAAAGCTTTTAAATGAGAAAATATGCATGCAGAATTTTCTTGTTTAGATAATTTGTACCTCCCGTGTCTAATGGGTTAAACTGCTTCAAATGCAATAGAAACGCTCCATGCAAATGAAGGATGCTAGCTCTCCTTTCTTAATGGCTACCCAGTATAACAAACTTAGCCAATGAGAAGGTAGAGTCTGGGTTACCGCCTCTTCGTCTAAAAGGTCCTCATTCGGTGTTCTTAAAGTCGACTATTTTACGTGACATATAGGAACAGTCGTTGGCAAAATTAAGCTGTCCTCGTTTTGGTCCGTAATCCATTCATAGGCCCTAGTCCCTTGCCTGCTCCTCATAGGTAAACTCTGAGACGTTGTGCATGGCGTGATTGTGTGTCCGGCGTTGTACCTGGCTAAATGTATTCTAAACTTTAGAAAACTTAAGTTTCAGGAAGTTCCAAGTGTAAAGTCAGAGCATAAACAACACTTAACAAAGAAGTACCTTGTTACAGGAGATATTTCTGGAAACGCTAGTTTGATTTTACTATGCTTGAATTTACATCTTGTAGGTTTCAGAGAAGTTTCTCAGTCAGTTTAAGCGTTACAGAGGGATTTCTTTTTTTGTGAAATGGTTTTGGAAATTTATAATCCGTTATCGGGTTATCGAGCAGGGAATGTAGAGTACATTAGGGCAATATTCTCTCACTCTCCCCTCCCCTCCAGAACCTAAATAAATATACAGTTCCAATGAAGTTAAGGTCTGTTTTTTCGAAAAAGTAACGCTCAAGGCATTGCATTCTCATGAAAATCGTGGGCGGAAAAGAACAAAAAAACAATTTCAAAAGAGCCGAGGATATAACGTAGTGGCCAACGAAACTGCACGGTTTCTGGAAAGTTTAAATGTAGACCAATCAGAGCTTGTAACGTAATAGTTAAACATTTTTCTCGCCCAATCACTTCACCTTAGGTACTATAAATACTAGCAAACTGCTGGGCGATGTTTCTGCGCTAATATTCGGGACGTCTGTGTATGTGTCACTTGTCATGGCTCGCACTAAGCAAACTGCTCGTAAGTCCACTGGCGGCAAAGCGCCTCGCAAGCAGCTGGCCACCAAGGCGGCTCGCAAGAGTGCGCCGGCTACCGGCGGCGTGAAAAAACCCCACCGCTACCGACCCGGCACGGTGGCCTTGCGCGAGATCCGCCGCTACCAAAAGTCCACGGAGCTTCTTATCCGTAAACTACCTTTTCAGCGCCTTGTGCGTGAGATTGCCCAGGACTTCAAGACCGACCTGCGCTTCCAGAGTTCGGCGGTGATGGCACTGCAGGAGGCATGCGAAGCCTATCTGGTGGGGCTTTTCGAGGACACCAATCTGTGTGCCATCCACGCTAAGCGTGTTACCATCATGCCCAAGGACATCCAGTTAGCCCGCCGGATCCGCGGGGAGCGGGCATAATTACGGCTTTTCTCTGAAATTTCAACCAAAGGCTCTTTTCAGAGCCACCCACGTTTTCAGGTAAGGGCTGTAAGAAACTAACTTTCCAACTCAAGTTGTTCAGTATAACTTTGCATCTGCTTGGGGAATGAATAGACATGCATCAACACTTGTCGGATTATGTATAATTTTTGTATATCCACTACGTATGCGAACACACTGGCCCTTTTTAAGTTTATGTAAATACTGTTTTCTCTTACCTTAGTAAAGAGCCAGAGTTTCAGAGGCACGCGAAATGATTGGCATTTGCAGAGCATTTTAAAAACATGGCCTTGTATTAGTTGTGAAACACAGGAATAGTATGAGTATAAACATTTTTACGTTTCTAACTTTGATCTTGATATTTTTACGATTATCAAAATTTATTGATAATAAATTTTCGCCTTTTTAAGTATTTCTTCTACTTAGGATATTTGGAATCATGTTTCCTCTTAAGCCTAATTCCTCCAAGTACTGTAGTTACAACAGTAGCCCAGTCAAGGAAGCAAAGACTATTGGTCAAACTGACCGCTTCCCACCTGCCCCACCCGCCCCGCCCTTCCCGCCCTTTCGCGTAAGTTCCCGGGGCTTGGAGGCGGGATTAAGGGAGGGGACTGTTGGCGTCACACTTCCGGTTTGCGCGCTTTCCATTCTCTCTGGGGGAGTTGGGCGGGGGAGAGGTGGTAGGTATATAAGGATCGGCTCTCCCTTCTTTTGTCAGTTGCTGTTGGTTTGCTTCTCTGGAAACCATGTCTGGACGCGGCAAAGGCGGCAAGGGTCTGGGTAAGGGAGGCGCTAAGCGCCACCGCAAGGTTCTGCGCGACAACATCCAGGGCATCACCAAACCCGCCATCCGCCGTCTGGCCCGGCGTGGCGGTGTGAAGCGCATCTCCGGCCTCATCTACGAAGAGACCCGCGGGGTGCTGAAAGTGTTCCTGGAGAACGTGATCCGGGACGCCGTCACCTACACCGAGCACGCCAAGCGCAAGACTGTCACCGCCATGGACGTGGTCTATGCGCTTAAGCGCCAGGGACGTACTCTCTATGGCTTCGGCGGTTAATTAAGCTTTCCGATTTCGCCATCAAGAGTTAGCATTTCTCAACCAAAGGCCCTTTTCAGGGCCACCCAACTACTCATAAAAGAAAGCTGTAACCATTAGCTAAGGCACAGGAGTCTGCAGCTCAATGGTGTGGTTAAAATGAAAACTACTGAGTCAGAAAACATTGCGGAGATTAATGTCTATATATCCATGTAACTCCCACTCTCGCCTCCATTCACTGGACACAGGTAGGGGGGAAAGGTGATACTCCCAACTTACTAAAGAAAAGTGGAAAAGAACCAAGTATGGCGAGAAACTTGAATCGGTTTGCAGGAACAAAGAGAAGCACTGCCCAATCAGCAAGCCCCATTCATGGATTTAAACCAATCAGAACTGATGATCTCATGTGGTTCCCCGCGGCGACCCAAATTTGGGGGATGGGAAATCGGGCGAGAAACGCCAAAACCCTTATTTAGAGAATTTTTTAAATTTGTTTTTACGGGTTATGAAATAGACTCCGACGAGACAGCTGAATGGCTCTCAGTCATGTCCTGAGAACAGTACTGAAATTACCGCCTCTAATAGGATGATTTGTCTCGATTAAAAAAATAATCTCTAGGGCTTCCCTGGTGGCGCAGTGGTTGCGAGTCCGTCTGCCAATGCAGGGGACACGGGTTCGTGCCCCGGTCCGAGAGGATCCCACGTTCCGCGGAGCGGCTGGGCCCGTGAGCCATGGCCGCTGAGCCTGCGCGTCCGGAGCCTGTGCTCCACAACGGGAGGGGCCGCGGCAGTGAGAGGCCCGCGTACTGCAGGAAAAAAAAAAAATTCAGACTGCCAGCAAACCCAGGGCATTGAATTCAGGCGAAATTAAAATCTCGTTTACGAAGAAAACGCACTTCCTTCTCTTTCGGTGTCAACACAGCCCTCAGCAGTTAGCTGTACTTTTTTCCTTACTTCACAGAGGAATGGAAATAAGGGTGATGGAAATGTTCTAAAATTAAATAGATTGTAGTGATGGTTGTACAACTAAGTAAATATACTAAAATCCATTGAGTTGTACACTTAAAGTGGGTGAATTTTATGGTATGTAAGTTATATCTCAATAAAGCTGTTTTACATATATGTATATGTATGTGTGTGTGTATATATACACACACATATATAATCACCAGGCAGGGTAGCAGGAGATTGTTTGTAGGGTAGACACTGTTGGTCTGTGAAGAGGTTCTCTTGCTAAAGTTGAAAGTATGGCCTGCTTGGTCTAGTCTGTCATTATAGCCACAGGAGGTTTTAAGCAAGAATGTCCCTAGTCCAATTATATATTCCAGTAGCATACCAGACTTTAGAACTCAGCTGGAGAAAGGATGTGAATTCACTTGAAGTTGGCTAAAAGGAAAACAGCTTATCCTCATCTAAAAAGATATTCACAAATGCCTCTGTCATTGGGTTCCTTTTTGTATCATTTTTATAGAAGGCTGATTTCAGCCTCAGTGTGTTAGTTTCAGTCAATAATTCTCCTAGCTTTTTTGGTCCCATTTCCCACCTGATAACTGTCCTCCAAGATTTTGGGGGGAATGATAAAAGTACAGAGCCTGGCTTAATTTAAACTGACAATGGGGAGAGTTCAAGTCTGCATTCTAGATGACCAGAGGAGCAAAAATGGGCCTGGTTGGGATAGTGGTCACTTTATGTTTTCCTTAGCTGGTGCCCTGGTGTCTGTCAGGAGATATGTATTGATTTCACGTAATGTGCCTGATACTGTTGTAGGCATTGGGGTACACCAGTAAGCAAATTAGAATTTCCTGTCCTCCATTCAGAGCGTATGTAATGAAGTATGTGGATAGTTTTCCTGCACTGGAGGGAGGTGTGGTTGCTCCATAGACCAGTTTCTGTTTTGGTTGGCCTGTTTTTTTTAGTTCATAAGCCGTGTAGATAGTATCACACTCATTTTAGTCACACCCACTACCTGAGTGAAAAACCTGTGAGCCTTCCTCAGGCCTAACAGTCATGAAGTCCTTGTTCAGAACAAAGATAATGCTGCCTGATTTGCCACTCCTGCGTCATTCCTAAGAGCCAGAGAAAACCTGGCATGCTGACTGATTCAGACAGTGCCAAGTCAAGGAATTGTAGATGGGGGATCAATTATGGCAGCCCTCTGGTGGGCTAGGGGGGTGGGAGAGGGCCTGAATGCTTGTGTAGAAAATTCATGCATGCATTCATTCAACTCTGCCATAAAAGGACACAAGGGAAGACAGCAGTCTATGAAGCAGGAAATGGGTCATCAGACACCAGATCTGTCTGAATCTGTCCAGTGCCTTGATCTTGGACTTCAGTCTCCAGAACTGTGAGAAATGTTTGTTGTTAAAGCACACAGTCTATGGTGTTTTTATTATAGCAGCCTGAACCAAAACACCATTTTATGGATATAGATAATATTTTATCTGGTCCCTTCTCATGACAATTTACATTGTTTCCACTCTTTTACTATTACAATGTGCTGCATTAAACCATGTTTAAGTTCTTAGTGATCTCATCCAGTCTCACCGTTTGTATGTTGATGAGTCCCAAAATTTGTATCTAGTCCAGACCTCTCACCTGAACTTTAGAATCTCGCTTTCCCAACCACCTAGTCAGGTGTCAAGAGAGAGACATTAGCAGAGTAACCAGGCAGCAAAGTGTTTTCTAAAGTAGCCATCAGTACACCCTTTTCAAACATTAAATCAAAGACGCTGATTATTCAGTTAGCTGGTTTATCAATTTGAGGACATACTTTAAAAAACCTTTTATAATAACCATATTGTCATGTTTGAAAGCTTCATTAAAAAAATACAGTTTACTGCAGACAGAGGAAAGAGATGAGCTGGAAGGAAGGTGAAGGTGCAAGAGAGCCACTTAACCACAAAGGAGGGAGCTTCTCCCTTACAAGCTCAAAGGCCCTGACAGAGGCCTAGGGGTTCAGAAGACTCCCTTAGTCTAGTAAACGGGAATTTACAAACTCTGCTTAGCTAGAGGCTTAGGGAGGGCCCCCAGCCTGAGGATGAAAATCAGCAATGCCGAGGCATTTTTAAACCCGAGATCACTGGCTTTACGGGGGGTGACGACACTCAGCATGATGCCTGGCTCAAAGTCTAGAGGTACCTGAGGCCAAGGTCTGGGGCGCGACGCAGCGGAGGACGGGGAGGTGCTGGGAATGGAGAGATCATAGAAGGCAGATCTTTCCTGACATTGCTAAAGGCAAATACACTAGGAACTACCAGCTGGCGTCTTGCTCGCAATGTATTTTAATTGATCCGGCTTCTGACTTCTTGTGAGCGAAGCAGCACCCTCGCAGGTTCTGGCAATTTGTACAAATATCTACTGGTCCCTCCCAGGACCAAAAACAAGATCGGCGGCGGGCGATTCAGTAATGCCCGCTTCCCAAGAAACTGCCTCCTCGACGAAACTCCGGCTGGCAGTTGTCGCTCCTTTTACAGACGATGTGGGGTAGGCAGGATCCCTCCCACTAGAAAAAGCCGGGAACGCCGGGCCATAAGTCCTTCATTGCGGTTACCGAGACTTTCAAACCCCTCTCATTAGCTTTCCTTAGTCCAGTGTTAGCCCCACCCACAAGCGAGCACTTGCGGCCTGATTAGGCGAAGGTACCCCTACTCTTAGCAGGTGCCCAAAGATTGGCTGATGGAGACCGGCAGTGAAAGCGAACAGTTTGGCCTGTAGATAAGGCCACGTTAGCCTTAAAACAGAACCACTTTTTTTTCCAACAGATACGTTTTGAACACGGAAGTCGCGTACAGCTCTTCCTGAGCGGAGGTGGGCGGCCCTGAAAAGGGCCTTTAAAAAAAAATGTATAGAATGAGCCTTTAACCGCCGAAGCCGTATAGAGTGCGTCCCTGGCGCTTGAGCGCGTAGACCACGTCCATGGCGGTGACAGTCTTGCGCTTGGCGTGCTCGGTGTAGGTGACGGCGTCCCGGATCACGTTCTCCAGGAATACCTTCAACACCCCGCGGGTCTCTTCGTAGATGAGACCGGAGATGCGCTTCACACCGCCACGCCGAGCCAGGCGACGGATAGCTGGTTTGGTAATGCCCTGGATGTTGTCGCGCAGAACCTTGCGGTGGCGTTTAGCGCCTCCCTTACCCAGACCCTTGCCGCCTTTGCCGCGTCCAGACATGATTGTCTAAATTCTCGCAAACGTACAGGATGCAACAGGTTACTGCTTGGTCAAGAGTAATTATAAGCTAGAGTCGGACCTCGTTGAGAACTGAAAGCGCAGGCGGGAAAAGAGGCACTGACCGCGCCCCTTTGGCTCCGCCCCTCTCGGCAGTGATCCAATGACTGTGGGAGAGAGAAGCTAGTAAAGAGGTTCACTTTTAAACTCTGGATTGTTTTGCTCCCTTTGCTCTGCATCTGAGGCTGTTTATTTCTTCGGCTGAGAATTCTAGTGGAGGCTTATACAGTATTTTATGGCAAATACTGTACTTTCTCATTCAGGAGGAAGTGATTGTTAGTTGCTAAGGGTAGAAGAATATGACTCCCCATTCCCCCGCTCCCATATGCTTCTTTGGCAGAAGGAGTATTTTTGAGCTGATTATTTTTTTAAAAACACCATACACAAAAACATTTCTAAAAACAGAGTAGAATTTACTCTTTTGTGAGGGACATTTACATTTATAAAGGGAATTTTAAATTGTGTCTTTTTCTCTGTACCAGGAAGAGAAGGATGACTAAATCACCAGAGAATCTCATCAATGAGGAGGCACTAGAATTAATTCTGTATAACAACCTTACCCTCGTTGTTCCTTTTCCTGGTAACCTCTCATAACTGGCTCCCACCCACTTCTTAGCCGAAGATGGTATTTAAGGTGGTGGCTTGGGTCAGTATTGGGAGTTTACTCAGTTTTTCTAGGTATTTCTCAAGCCTACGTGAGGTATACATGTTATTAAGCTTCTGTTTGCTTTTCTTTTGTTAATCTACCTTTTATACAGTGGTTCTCAGCCAAGAACTTAGAAGGGTAGAAGGAAAGTTATTTTCCCTCCCTTATAGGTATGTTGATTATTTTGAGCTGTAGCAGAACAGCAAATGCAGAGGGAAGATTTCTCTGAACTCCCATTATCTGCCTAAAGACAGATCCTCCAAAAGGAACTCAATTGTCATAAATCCCTTCCCAAGGAGTTTCATTAACTAGGGAAGAGTGACACTTATCTGAGGAAAGGACACTAAAAATTAACACCACATGCAGACAAACCTTGGCACAAACTATTGTCCACAAAAATTAATTGTCAATCTAAGAAAGAAATAGAGGATTTTATTAGAGCCAACCTGAGGATTATAACCTGGGAGACAGTCTTCCAGAAAACTCTGAGGACCGTTCTGCTTGTCAGAGGTCAAAGCACAGTTATATAAGTTTTTGAGACAAAGAATCGTATATCAAAGTTACATATTGAGTCTACATAGTCCAGACCTTTGTGAGTAGTGGGGCATCACAATCCCTTACAGGATTGAGAAAGGAATGTTATCCCCTAAGGAGTTACCTTGCTGGAACCAGGAGAAAATTGCTCTTTTCAATGAAGCAGGCATTCCTGTGTCTTCTAAGGAAGTCTGGTCAATCTGTAATGTGCACATTGCACACTAAAGAGGGGTAGTGGCCCAAATGAGCAGAGAGAAAATTTTATGTTTAGAAATTTTCTTGTCCTGCCTTAAACATAATTTTATTTTATCCTGTCATACCTCTCCCATCTATTCTTCTAAGGGCCCAATCATCTTTCCTAAAAATTATTTACTCTCCCCTAAGAGGCCTACATACATACCACCCCCCAACCCCTCTTCCCTATTAAGATGGTGTTTAAGTCTGAATTTTAAGCCACCTTGAGGAGTTACTCATTTTTCCCTGGGTATCTCCCACATATACATGAGGGCTTCTGTTTTGTTTTTGTCTTGTTAATCTGTCTTTTATTTCAGAGGTCTCATAGAGGGAAAATTATTTTTCCTTCCCTACAGCTGTGTGACCTTTAACCTTGCCTTTGTTTTCTTTATCTGTAAAACTGGGTAATGATAACACTGATGGAACTCTAGTGAAGATTTAATTTAGCTATTGTAAGCAAAGCATTGGAACAGAGATTGGCCCATGAAGTCCTATATAAATGTGACTTGTTTTCAGTTGGTATTATTTCTTAAAGAATCTTCCTGGACTTGAGATATTGCCCTGAGGTCTCATCTTTACTCCTAACACAGTATCAATCACACAAATATGCATTTACTCATGAGGATTGTTTTTTTTAAATCACAGCATCTAATAAAGCACAAAGTATCACAGCATTGTTTTGTTTTTCATACGACATGTTAAACATGGTGGGTCCAAATATGTTCCTTTGGGCCCTCTCCCAAGGTGCACTGACAATCTCAGGCTTCTAGCTTTCCTGCAGTCAAGCCTGGGGTGCTGTTCAAATCTCCATACCAGTTTCCCACTGTTGTGTTAAATCTCTTGAAAACACTCATTGAGCAGTAACTCACTTCTACTGGGACAACTGGAAAGGCTACTACTAAATTTTTAAGTCTGAAAAATTTACCCTGACCTTGACTTCCTCCTCCTTTCCTTTGAGAGACTTTATAACAAACCAAAACTCATTCTAGACTCCAACAGCATTAGCTGTAAACTTCAACCTGTGGTGTAACATCACTCTGTGGGCCTGGGTAAGAAAAACCCTTTCTAACTGAAGACCTTGCAGCAGCCATTTAAAAGATACAATCTGTACAGTAAACACCCCCTTTTGTCTTCAGCCTGACCTTAGTCACTCCCCTAATATAAAATAATAGATGCTTAATGCAATGATATTAAAATGCTGGTACCATCCCCCTGCTCAAAGTGTTCAGTAAATTTTCTTTCACAAATTTGATTTTCTTCCACGTTTGATTTTAAAAGTCTGAATTTTATTTCTAAACTGAGCAGAATCTATGCAAGTAAGTAATGCCAAGTAAAAAGGAAATTTAGAAGCTAAAGTTTGTCTTTATTTCAAATTTTGAAAAATCCTAGAGTATGAGAGAAAATGATACACAGTTCAGGAAAATTAATAGCATTTATATGATACTATGTGTCCCAAACTTGATGCATATTATTCTAATAACAACCCTACGAAGTGGGTAGTGTTACCCCCATTTTTCTGATGATGGGGAAATTGATTTGTCTAAGATGACACATTAAGTAGTAAAGCTGGGATATGAACCCGGGTAAGCTAGCATCCAGATGCTGCCAGCTTGCAGAGTATACCCTAGAAAAATTAACAAGGTTATGAATTGTAAGACTGTGTTAACCTTTTTTTCCCTAGATACTGCACAGTTGTTCTGTTGAGGGGCTCAAGTAAATGAAGACTTAAAGCCAAATCCATGTTCCTTGGCTGGGGAGGGGAAGGATCAGCCAGTCCCAGCCATTGTCCCCTGCCTATCTGATCCTCAGACAGCAATGGGCACTTTTACTTTTTAAAAGCTATCCTATCAGGCCCTGTACATAAAACTTTTTTCCCAAGATACATAAAATATTAAAGGAAAAAGTCAAACAGTGTACATAAAAGCCAGCACAGCAATAAACAAGAAAAACCAAGATACCTGGACTTCAGCAGGGGCCAAAAGCTGAGGGGCAAAATCACCTTGGTTTAAGCCAAGGGCATTGGTGCCTCTGACAGACCTCTTATACGGGTAACAAAGGTCTGTGCCAGGCAGAGGCTTATACTAGTCTGGAAAAAATAAAATGTTAAAATAAAACAACATACACAGAGAGAAATATCTTTGTCATTAAAAAACATTATTTTGTAAACCAAAAGTTTTTATTGAAACCCTGAAATGTAAATAAATCCAAGTGAACAACACAACACCCATTACTGTGTATTTTGTGGGTTTTGTTTTAGGTGGGAGTTGGGCAAATTATTTTAGCAAGGTGAATCAATTCTCATCTCAGAGGTAGGCAGACTACTAGGAATAGGGTATGGAAAAAACTGAAGCAAAGCCTTCAGAATTGGTGGCTGTCATGTTTTTCAGCATTCTGTATTTTATAGTTTGTAAAATATAGTGTAAAAGCTACACAATAAAAAGGTTATTTTTCTTCTTACATTTGGTCACTATCCCATGTGTCATTTTTCACCCAGTGCTGAATCCCCAAACCGAAAAAACGTAAAAGCAAGATCACTGAGTCAAATGGCTAAAGTCCTATATTTGAGTAACAACTACAGCAAAGAACTGTGAAAAAATTGTACAGCATAGCATACCATGGTACATAGCCCTAGAAGAGACAAAAGCAATGTGAGATAAAGCAATACAATCAACTGGACTATTTCCAAGCAGGGCTATAATTAAATAAGGTTTGATAAACTATGCTTAGATGGCTACCTGTTAAGGAAATATGGTTAGACCTTCGCCTCACTTACAACTCCAGGAATGTCTGGCTGCGGCGGAAGGAGTTGGGACGGGAAGAATTCTATCCTTACCCACCCTTAAAGAGGATTTTACTTCCTTACGGTACAGCTCTTCAAGATGAAGTTGTAGGTGGCTCTGAAAAGAGCCTTTGGGTCTAAGGTTGGCACTTAATGGAAAAACAAGTTTACGCCCTTTCACCACGGATGCGGCGGGCAAGCTGGATGTCCTTGGGCATGATAGTGACGCGCTTAGCATGAATAGCACACAGGTTGGTGTCCTCGAAGAGCCCCACCAGATAGGCCTCGCACGCCTCCTGCAGCGCCATCACGGCCGAGCTCTGGAAACGCAGGTCGGTCTTGAAGTCCTGCGCGATCTCGCGCACCAGGCGCTGGAACGGCAGCTTGCGGATCAGCAGCTCCGTGGACTTCTGGTAGCGGCGGATTTCGCGCAGGGCCACCGTGCCGGGCCGGTAGCGGTGCGGCTTCTTCACGCCGCCCGTGGCCGGCGCGCTCTTGCGGGCCGCCTTGGTAGCCAGCTGTTTGCGCGGCGCCTTGCCGCCGGTGGACTTGCGAGCGGTCTGCTTGGTGCGAGCCATGACAAAACCCCACGATGGGTGTTCTCCCAAATGCCAGGGAAAAGCACTCAGCCGTCCTTCTTTTATACAGCCAGGCCACCAACTATTGGACCCAAGAACATTCGAAAGTACCCGCGCCCTCCTCTGATTGGTCCATTTCTGTGCCTGGCCCCGGAAGAATTAAGAGCTGCTTTCGGGTTGGTGAATGAATCTTAAACCCTGCCCTTTAACAATAGCGACTCCGACGCCCTGACGTCATTTTATTACGCTTTCGCTTCCAAAACGTACAGCAAAATTACACAAAGCAACGCGGGCACCGCCAACGGATTGATTTTTTGTGTAATTTTTTTTTTTTTCCGGTACGCGGGCTTCTCACTGTTGTGGACTCTCCCGTTGCGGAGCACAGGCTCCGGACGCGCAGGCTCAGCGCCCATGGCTCACGGGCCCAGCCGCTCCGCGGCATGTGGGCTCTTCCCGGACCGGGGCACGCACCCGTGTCCCCTGCATCGGCAGGCAGACTCTCAACCACTGCGCCACCAGGGAAACCCTCTTTTTCGTTTTTTTTAAGTACAACCACCAAAGATATTTTGGAAGTGCTTAGAAAAATTAGATGGGCTGCCATCTAAAATGATACTGAGATTTTCCTGAGTCTGGCACAAACATTGTGGAGTCAGGAAGATGTTTCTGACACGAGGGCGAAGTACCAAGGATCTAGTAATTTACTCAATCCCTTCAGGAAATGTGTAATGTTTTTATAAAGTTGAATAGATGCAGAGGTTTTGGGTGTTCCTTTAAGTCAACAAAAAATGTTGAAGGTTAACTTTAAATACAGTGCTTTTCACTATACTGAAAGTGAGCATACTTTCCTCACTCCAGTGCGAAAAACTTTACAAAAGTCACCGCTGCAACAAAGAGGAAAGTAGTTTGACTATAAACTGATTCACCTGTAGTTAATCCGGTCAATTTAAACTCGTGTGGCTTTCCTCACAGTCATTTCGCACATACTCTTTACTGACTTCCCTCGGGACACTCACTTATGAGCTGTGATTTTTCACCTGATGTCACAACCCTCATATGGGCAGAACTGAAAAGCATGACAGCTCTTTAAACGAAAAAGGTGGGTGGCTCTGATAAGAGCCTTTGTAAGTTACCTTTTTTTTTCTTTTGGATAATGGATAACAAAATTGCCGTGCAAAAGTAATAAACACTTTACTTGCCCTTGGCCTTGTGGTGGCTCTCAGTCTTCTTGGGGAGCAGTACCGCCTGGATGTTGGGCAGGACACCGCCCTGAGCGATGGTCACGCGCCCCAGCAACTTGTTAAGCTCCTCGTCGTTGCGGATGGCCAGCTGCAGGTGGCGCGGAATGATGCGCGTCTTCTTGTTATCGCGGGCCGCGTTGCCCGCCAGCTCCAGGATCTCAGCCGTTAGGTACTCCAGCACCGCCGCCAGGTACACCGGCGCCCCGGCACCGACACGCTCGGAGTAGTTACCCTTGCGGAGCAGGCGGTGCACCCGGCCTACGGGGAACTGGAGCCCAGCTCGCGAGGAGCGGGTCTTAGCCTTAGCACGAGCCTTGCCACCCTGTTTACCACGACCAGACATAACAGACCACAACTCAAAAACCTTCAAAATAAAAAGCAAACAATAAACAACACAGCGGTGAGAGAAATATTTATATTAACCAGAGGTAGGCTTGTGCTATTGTCCCATTGGCTACTATTTAAGAACCAATAGGAAATCAGAACCTGCATCCTTCATTTGCATACAAGACTTCCGTCTAGTGTGAGTTTCCTGTTTGCTCCAATCTCATACAGTCTGGTGGGCTTTTAATACTGTTAACAATGGAGTCTATTTGGTTTTTTCAAAGCAGTGTTCTTAAATGCAATCAGAAGCAGGAGTGATTATTCTTATTGTTCTGACTTTCTGCTATTGAAATTGTGACTCATGATTTTTGGAAAGGAATAAACGCAGCACAATTTAGAAACAATATTTAAGAGGTAGGTACTTCTATGCCCAGTGTTACTTTAACTCTTCTAACTCTTTAACTCTTTTGACAGGAAAGAGGGAGAAGAGGAAACAAAAAATTTTTTGTCCCGGCCCAAGTCTTAAACTATCTGAACAATGAAAACTGAAGGCAAGAACTGGATGATCCAGCAAGTCTTCCGTTTCATTCACAGCTTACCTATGAAGCCTTCCAGGGTCACCTGGGAGGTATGTAGAGTGAGTACTGTCCTCATTTTAGAGATTGCGAAACTGAGAGAGACCCAGTTTGTTTGCCTTTGCCAAGGTTAATGGGACCAAGGACAACAAAATCCTGTCTGAAAAACTTTGTCGTCGTTCCCCAGTGCCACTCTCAACCTTCCTACCCTCCCTCTTTTCTCACTTGGCTGCCAACACAGGATTCTAATTACTTTAGAAAACTCCTCCATCATTCTCCATATCGTACTGAACTTCTTGCAGTTAGAGTGAAAATTTTGCAGCACGTAAGGACTCCTAAGAATGAGAGAACAAACACCCTACAGCACATAAATACTCAAAATGAGATTACAGTATACTACTATAAAACACTATATTAATATTACTACAGGGTGTTTGGTCTTACGCTCTCATGTTGAGGAACATAAAATTAAGATAAATTACCGAGGGAGATCTTGCCGTTTTTTCTTTTAATGGTCCATGAAATAGAAATAGATGGGGCCCAGATGGAGGCGGATTACTATTATAGGAATTTTTGAGGACTCCAGCCTAAAAGTCTACTAACTAACAGGATGGTAAAAGGAACAAGAGCCTGGGTGTGAGAAAATTACTTCTAAACCAACTCGGTCAGAGAACTATATTTTGATCCAGGCAACCAAGCAGGAGAGTAAAGATGCTCATTTCCTGTTTCTTTTTTACCTTCTCTCAAGTCTTTTGACTCCTATGACGTTTTCTCTTAACAATATTCACTTCCTTTTTATTATTTATTATTATCTTCACCATGGACAACAGCAGTATACATCAACACTGGCTCAGTGTCTGAAATGTTTCAAAACCCGTGATGCAGATGTAAAAAGGTATCTCAGATGCTGCCTTGAAGACTTCATACTCTCTTGTGAAAAGGGCAGGGGGCGGGGAGCTGGGGGGGTTGTATACCTGAAGTTTAAATAGTACAGCATTTTTTGCATCCAAAACTGAAGGTTTTAAGCAATAAATATTATAAGAGCACATGGAGAAGAGTAATCACTGTGAATTAGAAGGGTTAACAACTCGAAAGAGATGTACATTTAGCATTTATTCTACATAAATAAATAGTGCCAGAGTGTTCTAGGTGATGGCATGGTGTGCCCTTGGGGTCGCTGGGGAGGAAAAAATTTTCCTCTACCCTTCTAGGTTCTTCTGGCTGGTCTAAGAATTAAATTGACATGAGACAAATTAACAGGAAAAAATTAAATTTCATTTCATTTGTGGGTCGGACACAATAAGAAAAATGAGACCCAAGGACAAGTTAGGCAGTTGAGGCTTATGCCATCTGAGAGAAGAGGTTACGGGCTTGGGACTTCAAAGGGTAGGAAGGCAATTCACAAGAAGATGAAAAAAAGAAAATGTTTTGTGAACAAATGTTTGCTGGGCCAAACAGAAACAATGGCACCCAGAAAAAAATTTTAATGAACAGTCTTTCCTAGGTTCCCCCCTGTCTGCACACCTCGTTCAAATTATACTGTAGTTATCTAGGGTGAGACCTGCCTTCCTGGAACAGGTTCTCTATCTAAAATTCTTTTAGGCATTTAGGGGGAAGGTCAGAGTTTCTTCCTGCATCTTTTGGGCCTTGATTGCTTTCAGCTCTAAATTCTCTGCATGCCAAAGTGGCATATCTTGGGAAGGCCTGCCCTGAAACCCATCACTGCCGTATCAGTTTAATTATTACACCAACCGAAGAAAATTGTTCCCCCTCCTACAGAGGCCACATGGGGATCCTGGACTTCCACCCCCTACACAGCAATAATGAGGCACCTCTTCCCTGTCAATGTCAAACAGGCTGAGCAAGAAACTTGGACGCCACTCCCACCTGACAATGAGGCAGTGCCCCTCCTATCCCAGGCGGGAAGGGGGCTGGGAAGGGGGGGAGGTCTCTTAAAACCATAAATTTAAATAAGATCTAGAGTCTCATAACAATACCCAAAATGCCCAGGATAAGTTTATTTTAAAAAAAGATCACTGTCATACCAAAGTCTCCATTTGAGTGAATAAAGATAATCAACATATATTAAGACCGAGAGACACATGTTAGAATTCTCAACTAGGATTCTAAACCAGCCGTCATAAAAACACTTAAATGAGCAAGTTGGTGCCTCATCAGAATCAGCTGGGGAGATGTATGAATTTTATTTCTGGCTTCTCACAATTCCCCACATAGTTTTGGAGTCTAGCCCTGAGTCCAGGAATCTGATTTTTAATTTCCTTTTTGCTTGTTAAAGATCAGCCAGGTATCAGTATAGATGTCAAAAGGGCCTAGCTTTGAGTTTAGGGGACCCAGGTTTTGGTTTGGGCTTCTTATTTAAGGGTATAGTTTTAGGTAAAATATCAACTATTAGGAAGAAGCGGGAGAGAGGAGAGAAGAAAGATAGAAGCAAGCAAGTAGGCAAATATTATGAAAGACAAGATGGGGAAAAAAATAATTCTTATCTCAGGAGATCATTTTGAAGAGGCTGAGATATTATTTCCCAGATCTCACTCCTCCAGGGGGTGATTCTTAAATTGCAGCTTGAGTTCAATATTTTTTTTTTACGGGATGGGGGGGGTAGTTATAATCTAAAAAGCAAAAATTTTAACTTCTAAGAAAAGCTTCTCTTTCACAACTATGTTTTCTGTACGCTGAGATAAATGCTTCTCATATAGCGGTCAGCTGATTTGTGTGGGAGCTGGGAAAAGATCATTTAAATTTAAATTTTCTTTTAAAAGTGGTCCTTTTTGAGAAATTCTACTTCAAGTTTTACTTCTTCATCCAGACACACTGTTGTATGTCACCTACATACGGTGCTCATAAACCAAAGGAAAAGACTTTTCCCAACCTTTTTAATAGGCAGTCAACTGCTGCCCCTTTTCCCGGCTTTTTCCCCTCCCCCAGCCTCAGGCCTAGCCCAGCCGTAACTGACTCCTTTTCCTCAACCAAGGCCCTTCCCATCGGGATTATTTTTGGAGTCGCGGGTATTTTGAAAAAGGTTTCCAAGAAAAATCAGCACATTTTCCTCTCCAACTGGGGCCCTCCCGGTCTGCGACGAGGTGACACCAGATGGGGAGGGCGGGAAATTCAAATCCTTTGTCCCTCCTCGAGCTGGAGTGCCACCCTTTCAAGCTCTTCTAGTGGCATCCCTGAACGGTAAGTGACCCAAGAAACGGGAGCCCAGATTTCAGGAATGAAAGAAAGATTGCAACGGCTTTAGATTGGCTGTGGCCATCAGTAAACAATTCTAACGCGAAATTAGAAAATCTCACTTCAACCATGTGAAGAGAGCTTGAGGTAGTACCCTATAGAAGTGCCCACAGCTTGTTAAAGGAACAATTTTGCTTACTGTTTCTACAATCCCAGGGGAGTTCAGGCTCCCGGAGAAAATGCCACTACCTGCCCTCTGTTCCGTCGGGACCCCTCCTCTCCCCTCCCCCTCCTCCTCCCCACACCCCGTCCCCTCCCCCACATCCCCTCCCCGTCGCCCCCTCACACCTCACACCTCCCCACCCCACCCCCTCGCCCCTCCCCCTCGCCCCCCCCGCCCCCTCACCCCCCACCCCCACCCCTGAAAAGACAGCCTGGATAATCATCTCCTCAGGGTCTCTACTCTGAAATCCCCTAACCGCTTCCTTACCAAGGAGGGACATTCCCATCACCATTAGAAATTTCAGGAGGCTTTGTAGAAAGGAGTGAACACTTCCAACAGCTTAATAAGCATCTGGAAGTTTAATCCTTGGGGAAAAGATGAGGTTTTTTGGGTAATGCGACACAGTAACTCATGTGTTTTAAAGCCGATAAACCTTCCAAGTCGCTTGGGGCTCTGGCTCCAAAACTGCTTCAACTATCAGCACCACAGAAAAAAACACCTGAAAGTAAATGTAACCAGTAGAGAATTGCATTCATCATCAAAAAAACGGAAGTTTCAGCTCTTCTTTGACAAAGTGGGTGGCTCTGAAAAGAGCCTTTGGATTAAGTGCCTATACAAGCACTTACTTGGAGCTGGTGTACTTGGTAACGGCCTTAGTGCCCTCGGAAACAGCATGCTTGGCCAGCTCCCCAGGGAGCAGTAGGCGCACAGCCGTCTGGATCTCCCTAGATGTGATCGTGGAGCGCTTGTTGTAATGCGCCAAGCGCGACGCCTCACCTGCGATGCGCTCAAAGATGTCGTTGACGAACGAGTTCATGATACCCATGGCCTTGGATGAGATGCCGGTGTCTGGGTGGACCTGCTTCAAAACTTTGTATACGTAGATGGAGTAGCTCTCTTTACGACTGCGCTTGCGTTTCTTCCCGTCTTTCTTCTGCGCCTTAGTGATGGTCTTCTTAGAACCCTTTTTAGGGGCCGGAGCAGATTTAGATGGCTCTGGCATAGTTCTTCCGAAGAGCTGTAGTAAACGTTAAATCGCCTTCTCCACAACTAGAACTAGTAGTGTGAAGAGTTCAGAACCCATATATTTATAGTCGTTCAACGCAAATGAACAATCAAGAGGTCTCACTTTTGATTGGATAAGAGTAGTACAGGTTCACTAAGGGCGGGAGGGGCGTGGTTTATGCAAATAAAGGATACACAATTTGTTTTTCTATTGGATAGAAAAACAGCATACTTTTGACCAATCGGATAGCTTGCTGGGGCATCCCTGTACTGTCTGTAAAATGATTTGTTCCTATGTCATCCAGCGTTTATTCCTTTTGCTCACAATGTTTGTTGTTAAATTGTATAAGGTAATTACGTCTGGCCGTGGTGAATAAGTAGGCAAGATTCGAGCTAAAGCTAAAACTCGATCTTCTCCAGCTGGTTAGCAGTTCCCAGTAGGCCGCGTACACTGGTTGCTCCGTAAGGGCAACTACTCCAAACGGGTCGGTGTCGGGGCCCCCGTGTACCTGACAGCCGAGATTTTGGAGCTGGCGGGCAGCCCGACCCGCGACAAGACGCGGGTCATTCCGCGCCACCTGCAGCTGGCCATCTATAAGGAGGAGGAGTTCAACAAGCTGCTCGGTAAAGTCACCATCGCTCAGGGCGGCGTTCTGCCCAACATCCAGGCTGTGCTGCTGCCCAAGAAGACTGAGAGTCACCGCAAGACCAAGGGCAAGTAAAGCCTAGACAAAATACGAAATTCTTTTTTATAAACTGTCTAGTGGTTCTTTTCAGAGCCATCTACATTTTCATTTAAAAAGCTGGTAGCCAGGTATCTATCTCTGTTTTGTAAAAGACAAAGTGACGTCAAAACGCTGACTTCCAGGGAAACTGGACTTCCCACAAGCATTATTTTAGTGCGTACCGGGTGAAACTTCCGTAGTCAACAAAAGCGTTTCTAAAGAGGAGGCAGAAGCATCGCTCGGGCTTGAGAATAACAAAAAGCAAAGAAATGTTCCTTTTGCCAGTAATAAACCTGTTCGGGCTTTCAAGGTTGTAAATTTAAGCAAAATATTTTTTTCTGACGAAAGTTTGGTTGCAGTCCAGTGTGTATCTGTCATCAATTTTACACGTGATTTTTTGAATCATCCACCCAGTGACACTGCCATGTAGTTTCACAAAAGAAAAACCCAGGGTTAGGGGAGCTGTGATGACCAGAGAAAGTGGCAGTCCTGGCGGTTCGAGATTTATTTAAACCTAACCCAGCTGTCTGGGGGAGAAAAAACAATTGTACTCAGTTTAGTGTGGACCAGCTGTATTGACAACCCGCGAGCGTGTCAATATTGACACGCTGAGAATATTGAGAATATCAGGGGAACTCATCAACTGAATCGGAAGTTAACATGGTCCTTAAGTGTCTCGTTATGCACGCTGTAGTTGGCGGCAGGATGAAATAGAACGTAGGAAAATTCCTTCAGATCCCAGAGGCAAAAAAGGCACCGGGAATGGGTGGTAAAGTAATTCATCCAATCAGATTCTCTAGTAATTAATTCTCCTTCCCGGTCACCTTTCAGCCAATGGTTTTATCGCGCGGTACTTTTGAAAAACTACAAGACCAATCAGAATGCTTCTAACTATATTTAAAGACAACTGCCTAAGCCTGCAACAGGCCTGTGGGTGTGTGGTCAATCGCGCGTTATGGCTCGCACTAAGCAGACCGCTCGCAAGTCCACCGGCGGCAAGGCCCCGCGCAAACAGCTGGCCACCAAGGCGGCCCGGAAGAGCGCACCGGCCACGGGCGGCGTGAAGAAGCCGCACCGCTACCGGCCCGGCACGGTGGCCCTGCGCGAGATCCGCCGCTACCAGAAGTCCACGGAGCTGCTGATCCGCAAGCTGCCGTTCCAGCGCCTGGTGCGCGAGATCGCGCAGGACTTCAAGACCGACTTGCGCTTCCAGAGCTCGGCCGTGATGGCGCTGCAGGAGGCGTGCGAGGCCTACCTGGTGGGGCTCTTCGAGGACACCAACCTGTGTGCCATCCACGCCAAGCGCGTCACCATCATGCCCAAGGACATCCAGCTTGCCCGCCGCATCCGCGGAGAGAGAGCCTAAAGAAAATTATCTTCCTAATTGAAAAAAGGCTCTTTTAAGAGCCACCCACAATTTTACTTAAAGGCGGTTGTGACATGATTGCTGAGGCGTTAGAAATCACTAATGGTGGAAAGCGTATAGTAAAAACTCAAGTAAGGGACTTTAGTATACATAAAACCAAAATAAGCCTTTATTCGGGTTAGAGTTATTCAGGGAATTATCTCTCATAATTAAAATACTGTCTTCAGGTCAGTTGGTCTACCCAAACTGGAATTGTAGCTCAGGCAATAGGAACTGACCTCAGTACTCACCAGCAGAGATCCACTAAATTTATGTAACCTTTAAGATTTGCCTATGCATCTGAAAATCAAGGGGGGTTGAGATACTGAAGGGTACCAACTCTAGAGCTTTTTCTACTCATGCCTCCTTGTAATACAAAGAACATTTACTTAAATGTTAATTTTTTTAAAAAAGTTTCCACATATTGATGCACAATGTAACTGATGGAGCAGATGGTTTTCTGAGGCTTAACGCTTACACAACGCGGTGACTTAAAACTACAAACAAAATTACAAAGTAGATACTGAATATTTATAATGAGAAAATTAACAAATTCCAATTTTACGAAAAAACAAAACTATAGCTATCACAAAATTCAGAAAAATAGCACATTAAGTTGAATACACACTGCAATGCTTTATTTTCCTATATTTTTGACAGCATACTCTGATTCCCTCTTTAAAGGAAAATTGTTTAGTAATATTTTCTATAGAGTGTAGACAGTGGGAAGAGAATTCAGTATTCCCTCTAGGGTGGTTGATCACAATTTGTTTTATTCCATTGATAACTTAGAATTTCAGCTTCAAAGCACCGTAGGTGATGTCAAGTTTTTAGGATTGTTTTCAAATTTGGAAAATCCTCTGTCAAGCTTCTTTCATATGTGAATTGTAAAATTTGGAAGAATTCTTCACAGACTAGCTTCTGGCACTATACATTTCAAATCTCAATTCTCCCCTATGCATTCACTCCCAGTGCTGGGTACATGGATATATGACGTCTAGTCCCATATTTTCTTGCCATTAATCCAGGTGAGTTTATCAGTGGGCAGTAGGAGTATTCCTTGAAGCCATTCTTAGAGCAGACTGGCTAGCAACAACTGAACTATCAATATATATAAGCACATCTGCACATCACTTTATATATGTCATTAACCCCAAACAAAATATAGATGCAAGTAAATTTTCTCAATCCCAAATATTCTCATCAACATCCCAGCATAATCAGACAAAAGGTGAATTGTAACAGAAGATTGAATGGACAGAAATGGTTTTTACCAGCTGTGATTAAAATCTGTCAACATTGCAATTTTAAAAAAAAGTATTCTTTAAATGAGGGCAAGTGAACATACTATACTCCCAGGGGCCCCTCCCAGGACCTTGGAAGTACAGGGTCTGACATTTGAGTTTCATTAACTTCAGGGTAAATCTGCTTCTCAGCACAGGTTATGCTTTTCCAAATTACACATGGCCTTCCTTGCCCTCCTACCACTCTGTTATACCACACCTCAGCAAGTGCCCTGTTGAGAAACACTGGTCTCGGATGACTCAGGACTCTGAGATAGAGTCAGCATAATTATAGGATCAGGTCAGCATAATTATTTCCTTGGAAACAGCTAGATTCTACTCCAGAGCAAGTATTCTCTTGTGTGTTCCTTTCAGCGTTTACATAGATCTTTATTGTTCAAGACGGTAGCCAATAGCCATATGCGGCTATTGAGCGCTTGAAACACGGCTAGTCCAAATTGAGATGAGCTTAAGTGTAAAAATACATACCAAATTTCAAAGAGTTAGTATGAAAAATAGAACTTAAAATCTCCTGAATATTTTTACCTTAGATGACTTGTTGAAATATTTTTATTTTAGTGGGTTAAAATATTATTAAAATAGATTTTACTTGCTTTACTTTTCTAAAATGTGGCTACTAGAAAATTTTTGATTACTTACGTGGCTCATACATGGAGGATAATTATACTGGCTCACTGATCAGATATTAACTCATTATGTCCTTAATGTGACCAAGCCTCAGTAATAATGGCACCTACCTCAAGGTGCTGTGACAAGAATGTGTTTGAAAATAAATGAAGAGTGTTCAGCAATAGTGCTTGGCACCCTCGTAAATTAGTGCTCAAGAAATGCTAGCTGTCAACACTATTGCTGTTACCACTGTGCCCCATATCCCTGTTCCCTTCTGAAATTCTCTAATGATGTAATCACGTCTTGTACTGGACCTGTCCCTCTCTGGCATGGATTTCAACCACAAAGTTACTTTTACATCTCCCTCAGGCTTAGAAGAAATGATATCTAGAGCAATGCCTAGGGGAAGTAACGGGATATTTAATTTTTCAGCTATGAGAGCACTGTGTATGTACAGAAAAAAAATTTTTTCACAATAATGCATTTACAAGGAGCCTTTAATTTCTGCGTACACTTCCAACGTACACGAACATTTCATGAATTTTCATCATTATCAGTCAGCAGTTTAGTTTATGCAGTATTCATATTCATTGCCACTTTTGGCTAATCCAGCCATGTTTGACCAATTATTTGAGTATATTATTGCTGTTGCCAATATTATTTTATAATAATAAGTGAATACTGAAAATAATATTAATAATGTCAAAATAAAATATAGGTTTTATAAACTAAACAAAATCGTGACAAAGACCTTTTCGTTAAACTAGCTAATTTTTAGAATTGAATGAATGTCTTATTAGACCCAAGCCGGTAAACTATGTGAACAGTTGTGAGGGAATGGAACAAAAGTAAAGAACACGGACAAAATTGAGGAAACATTGTTGAAGACTATCTAAAGTCTAGGTAAAATTAGAGATTTTAAACAATAACTTAGCTCTCTGTGAATGAACTCTTCCTGAAGCCTTACTAAAGAATGGTTATATTTGTTTTTGAGGAATATGTTTTACTTGAAAGTAAAGGACATGTTTCAACTATGCAAATACACTTGCAGGAAACATTCAATGATAGGATCAACTGTATATAAATCCAATAAATTTACACCCCAAAGGGCATTCACAAGAGGTTTGAAGAAAAATTAGAGAATCAACTCTCTTTGCTTAGGTTGATTCCTTCCCTGCCTCTTAGAGCTGATGTGAAAATCAAGCAAATGGGTGGAACTGAAATTATTTGAAGGAGAAAGGGAACATAGAAGTACATGGTGCTATTACTATAAGCCCTATCTGTGATTATATTTGGAGTGTCTTTATTAGGTCTCCTGGTTGTTGCAACTTGACCCAACCTGAACTAAGTGGAGAGGCCCCGGTGGCAGGAGTTCAGGTGGCTCAGAGAACCAGGAACTCAGGAGGTGTCAGGAACCCAGATCTTGCAGCACTCTCTGTACACCTCTCATCTCTGCTTTTCTACACACTTTGGCTCCATTCTACTCTTTTTATCCACTAGATCTCTTGGTTTCTCCTACACAGTGACTAAGACGAGGAATGAACTCCATGGCCACTACCACTAATGCAGGAAATAACTCAACTCACAGATTCGTCCTTGTGGCAATGGTTGAAGAACTGAGCTGCAGGTCTGCAGAAACCCCTGACCCGGGAAATTGTCTTGAGAAATTCTCTGCCCACCAGAATAGAAATAGGACGCTGGACTTTCTCTACCCAGGAGGAATGCCATGAATATGAAAGAATCTACATATAATACTGTTAATGAAAACTAAAGCCCTTTATTAGAGACATCACCTCCCCCCGCTCAATACACACACAATTTCCAAAGCTTAACCGATATATTTTTTCTCCTTCGCGTAGAAAATGTTGGGTGTTACAAATGTTACAAAAATGCGTTTAAAGCATCTTCGATTTTTTGATGTTAAAGTCCACCTAAAATGAGGATCCTTGACTGGCCGGCCAGGACAAAATGGCCGACTAAAAGTTGTTTTTCATGCGCTCAAATCCATCACACATTTGTTGAAAGTTACACGATGCGAGGAACAGAAACATCCCTGGTCCAGCCTTGCCCTGGGTGGAAGAGTCATTGCCACCGCTGTAGCAGTTTTTCAAATGTTCCTTTGCTGCCACAGCCCACAGGAATTAACCAAAGAATGCGAGGCAAGAGCGCCTGCACCCACCCTCCTCCCAGGATCGGATGATACCAACGCCCCCGAGAGCCAACAACTTGACTTTCGAAACATGGAAAATGTCCGAAATACCAGATACATTTCTGTATCACGCGAATAGTGCTAACCCAACGGAAGGAAAACAAACATTGGAGACTAAGGATGGAGGCCGGCCACCATCCAATTAAATACAGGGTGAAAATTACGGGCTGGGGAAGTGAGCCAACCCGCGAGCAGGGCGGGACTTTTGAATGAGTTCTTAGCCCAATCGGAATATCCCGTTAAGACTAAGAAACTGGCTGGATTTCTTTGTGGTTGTATTTGCTGTCCACAGGAGTGGAGCGGGGCAGGCGGATAGCCTAAGTACGCAAGCCTCCGGACAGCGCTTGTAATTGCTGACCAGGAGACTAACCAAAAGCACCGCAGAGCAAAGAGCAACCCACAGGGATGGGTCTATGCCCTGCAACCTCACAGCAGTCACCCTGCCAAGCCCTCACTGCCCATCTTAGGGTAGCGTGAGCAGCCTTCTGCAACGACTCCTGCGCAACCTTGATTTAGATTAAAAGGCGAAAGGGGATATAGGTATACAGAAACAGCAAGTACGGAAGGAGTATACAGGTCTTTTTTTTGATATCAGTGGTGGCTCTGAAAAGAGCCTTTTTGGGTTTTAGAAGCAGACGATTAACAACCTACTTCTTTTTCGGTGCAGCCTTCTTGGGCTTGGCAACCTTGGGCTTGGCGGCTTTGGTCTTCGCTGCCTTAGCTGCGCTCTTGGCGGCCTTCTTGGGTTTCGCAGCTTTAGCTTTCCTTGGGCTCTTGGCAACTTTCTTGGTCACAGTAGCTGCGGCTGGCTTCTTCGCCTTCTTCGGGGTCTTCTTGGCGGCTTTTTTCGGGGTGGCCGCACCCGTGGCTTTCTTGGGCTTTTTAGCTGCCCCAGCGGCCTTCTTGGGCTTGGCCGCACCTGCTTTCTTAGCCTTGGGCTTGGCTTCCCCAGTGGCCCCTTTCCTGTTGAGCTTAAAGGAGCCGGAAGCACCGGTGCCCTTGGTCTGCACCAGAGTGCCCTTACTCACCAGGCTCCTAAGACCCAGTTTGATGCGGCTATTATTCTTCTCCACATCGTAGCCCGCGGCTGCCAGCGCCTTCTTGAGCGCAGCCAAAGACACACCGCTCCGCTCTTTGGAAGCGGCGACAGCCTTCGTGATGAGCTCGGACACCGGCGGCCCAGACGCCTTCCGGCGCGCCCCGGCCGGCTTCTTGGCCGCCTTTTTCTTAACCGGGGTCTTCTCCGCAGGAGGCGCGGCGGCGGGAGCGGCAGGAGCAGTCTCCGACATGCTGAGTGCTGAAGATCTAGAACTCGGGTACAAGTGGCAAGTCGCCGATGGAACTACGCTTGGGCCGGGCCGCCGTATATATAGAGCGCAGGCGCGCGCTGATTGGTGCTCCGGTCGCCCGCCTGGCTGGCAGGCTCTGAGCCGCCGCGGTGCGCCCAAGTTGTGTTTGTTCCACTTCACAAAAGGGGGAAAATATTAAAATACGCAGCACCAAATCACCCGAATTTGGTCGGGAAAGGATCCGAGAAGCCTCAGGCTTCGTGCTCTCCGTTTATTTTTTCCGCAACCACAAAGACTACTCGTCCAGTCGTCCCCAACTCCCCCAACTCCTAGGGAAGTCCTGGGCAGTCGGAGACCACTTTCTGTTTTTCTTCTAAATTACCTGTTCACTCCTTTGCCCCTGAAAGTTCTTTTTCTCAGGGGTGGTTGGGCACATGCTTCCCTTTTTTTTGAGCCAAAAATGAAATGGTTTCCACCTAAATTTTCACCATAATTCTGTTTCTTCGCAAGGGAAGTAACACAGGTCCTCTGTGAATTCTGCGTACAGACCCACAGGAACTGTGGACTGGGACCAGGATTCTGGGGCCAGTCCAAAGCAGTTAGGGCGGGATGGGAGGGGGTTCGTAAGCCTTGGGGGGGTCCTGGATGATGGGGGGTTAGAGACTTAAATCTTTGATTTGAAGACATTGAAACTCTATCAAATCCCTCTTTTCATAGATGGGGGCGGGGCACTCTTCTCACTTCTCCAAAGGCGAGAAATTGGGCTGTTTTTTAAAAGCTCTCGGGTTTCCCTCTGGGTTGTGCAAGGCAGGGGGTCTGGCCCTCAAGGATAGGGATAATGAGGGAAGAAAGGAGACCCCCTAAGCCTGCAAATAACCCCCAAATAGACTTGGCCGCTAGGGACGTTTAGATGATCTGTTTTCAAAGAAAACAAGCATTTATTTATTTATTTTTGCATGCCGCAATAAAGAGATGAATTTCAGCACATGAAAATTCTAGGTTACTTCCAGTAACAATATCTAACACATGTCGTGGTACAGGACACTCTCTAACTGGGAACCCAAAGATACAGATGGAAATAAAGCAACTGGCTTCAACAAGATACACTTTTGACTTTTACATGTCGTGGTACAGGACACTCTCTAACTGGGAACCCAAAGATACAGATGGAAATAAAGCAACTGGCTTCAACAAGATACACTTTTGACTTTTAAGATGAACTATAGATTTGAAACAGAAATGAAACGGCAAAATTTTAACAGAAGTAGAGGAAAATTACTAGAACAAATAAATTATTATGCCACTTTTTGCTGATAAGCTCACCTCTTATCTCCTCTAAAGCCGGCCATATATATTCTATTCTAAAGCCCCCTTTACTACTACTACATCTAGATAAAAATATGTACTAAAGATGTCAGTCTTAGATGTGATAGTCAAAAGGGGTTATACAAATTAAGTTCACTGATGAATGAAAAATGAGGTATCTTCTTTTAGACTAAGGATAACCCCATGGTTTCACTGAATAACATTCATTCAACATTTGGAAACTATGTCTACTACTGGTCATGTCCTCTGGGAATTAACAACCTAATAAGATTAGTGATGGATGAATTAGCAACCACAGAAAATCGCTTTAGACCTGTCATCCATCAGTGTGACTTTGGGCATAGGAATTGTAAGAAATCATTGAAAGTGTACGAACAACTAAAGTACCTTCATCATGCTAATACGTTTTGGTAAAAACATAAAATAAGAACATGCCATTTTGTTCTGATTCTATGTGCAATGAGCCCCCTCTTCATCTGAAACTCAGCTAAGTATGCATAACCACCAGGAAAAGAGCTGTGTGGAGTCTTGATTACCAGGTCACTGAACCTCCCTTCACTATAAAATGGTGTACCTGGGCTTCCCTGGTGGCGCAGGGGTTGGGAATGCACCTGCCGATGCCGGGGACACGGGTTCGGGCCCCGGTCCGGGAAGATCCCACATGCCGCGGAGCGGCTGGGCCCGTGAGCCACGGCCACTGAGCCACGGCCACTGAGCCACGGCCGCTGAGCCTGCGCGTCTGGAGCCTGTGCGTCTGGAGCCTGTGCTCCGCAACGGTAGAGGCCACAGCAGTGAGAGGCCCGTGTACTGCAAACAAACAAACAAAATTGCAAATAAGCAGCATGTAAATTTGATTACTGTAATTCAATTTTCTAATATGACCACTCAGTTTAAATCACTCAAATCACATCTCTCCATATGCAAATCTGAAGTCCAGAACCAGACACCAGCCACTCAAATTCTTGCTCTCAACCTCCTGGCCACATAATAGAGATCAGAAGGCAGAAAAACAAGTAGCCCTTCTCTAGATCCCTGTAACTTGTGTTGAGAAAAGTCAAAAACAAAGCAAAGATATTTCTTCATGTCTTTTCAAGCTGTAGTAGAGAATTCTCCACGAGTCCACTTGTGGTTCATCTAATGCTCTAAGGCCATGCTATACAGTAAAATGGAATGTGAGTCATACACGTAATTTTAAGCTTTCTAGTAGTCACAATGAAGAAATAAGAAGAAATAGGTGAATCTAATTTTAATAATATATTTTACTTAACTCAGTATATCCAAACTACTATCACTTCAACATGTAATCGATATTTAAAAATATAAGACAGTTTCTGTTCTTTTTTTCATATGGTAAGTCTTCAAAGTCTGGTGTGAATTTGTAAAATTTCAGACTAGCCACATTACAAGTGCTCAATGACCACATGTGACTAATAGCTGTCATACTGGACAGCATGCTGTCCAGTATGACTTAATATTTCCTTTTCGATTGGGCTCAGAGTATGCAAAATTATACGTTTACTTGTAGAAGGTTGATACATTAATAAAGGTCTTGTTCAGTAGAGATGCAAGTGAATTCTTTCTAGTAGAAAAGATAACCCTAAAAGTTATTATTGTATTGCCTAATAGGACATTAAACAATTTTGTATCTGATTTTTCAGCCTTCCAGCATTCTTTCTTGCCCTGACTGAACACATATTTCATTCTCCTGTATCCTGCTTTGACCTAACTTTTTCAATTCTGCTTGCTCCGTCATTAATACTGAAATCATTCTCTGACCCATGCACAAGCTCACTATACACAGTACTTGTATGAGAGTCATGTTTTGAAAATTATACTTTTACACTTGGTTATTCAGTTTGTCCTACAAGCTCTGAATCAGAATCTTTAAAAACCATTCTAAAAAATTGGAAGATACAAGATTTTTTGACCATGAGCTATAAAGCCACCTTAGATCTTGTAGATGTCCCATGAAGTCTCAGGTTTTGAACAAACCTGTGAGCAACAAAAGACCTACTAAAATTAACTCCAGGGAAGATTCAGATTAAGGTTGTTGTCTGCCCACTCAAAATTGATGGTCTCGAGATAGCCAGCAATAAACTGAGGACAAAGGTAAATGTTGCCATGCAATAAATTGTGTATTCTTGTATTCACACACATCCTAAATCTTACGGGTTGGCTAATTTTGTTTCATATTCTTCGGGTCGGGAAAGCTGGTGGACAAAGTTAAAGATGCAGAATGTCAAGCCCAAATGGAGCTGGAGCGAGAGAGAGAGACTCAGACAGCAAGACACACTCAAAGGAGAGTGAGAGGAGTTGTTGGGACAGGTGTATGGATCCGGGGCTGACAACTGATTTTTCTTTCACTTCCTCCTTCTACCATGCCAGGAGAGTGTTCTGTCCGTTCGTTATAGGCCCCAACTGGAAGTTATTAAAACCTGATTTTTGCTGACTCGCCAAGGAAACTTTCAGTTGAGACTAAAGTTTCTGTATCTTATTCCCTGACACACTTTCAAAATACACTGCGGAAACCAACAGAGAATATAGTAGTAAAGCACGTAGTGGGAGCTCAGTGAATACATAGAGAGTATTACAAAAGGAACAATACATTGCAAAACATTTGGAACTGCTATTAGAATCACATAAGTGACACAAGAAACTAGGGCATTAATAGCCACCTGATTTTTCAAGCTTGTTTTCAAATGACTTTAAATGGTTTCAAAAGTGAAACCCACCCTCAAAAGAAAAGGATTTGTCAATAGCGAGAAGATATACATTTTTACACTTTCTCAGTTTAGGCTGCTAATGAAGGCAATTATAAAGCACAAGATGAAAACATATATTAGGCAATAGCCTTAATCAGAATAAATACATGGCTTTACACGATGACTATTTTGGAGGAAACAGGGGCATACAAATTTTGGTAGATTTGTTAGGACATGTTATTGCTTTTTATTTCCTAGCTCATCACTATGCCATGCATAAGATTTTCACATATGCTTACTGAGCACTTGTTAAGCAAAGGACACCAGGAGGGAACAAAAGCAAAGATCAGCCAAGCAAAGGGTCTCCTCTTAAGGAATTATACGTTTTGAGACTGACACAGACAAGTATAATTATCATACAGTGTGATAAATCTGATAAGAAAGACACAAACCACTGAGAGAACAAAAGTATAAAAACCAAAAATGTTCATGTGCTGCTTAAACGTTTGCCTTCAAGTACTTACTAATCCAATTGGGAAATTAAGACATCAGAGAACAGGCTAGAACAGTGGTTCTCAAAATTTAGATTTCAGGACCCCTTCACATTTCTAAAAATTAGTAGCCCCCCGGTAAGTTTCGTTAATGTAAGTTACATATATATGTAGATATTTACTACTTTAGAAATTAAAACGGAGTATTAAATTTAATAATCACATGTATATGATGTTTACTACCTATAAAATGAATTATATCTATTCATAATTATATATAACAAACAGCATATAATATATTCATTTACATTATGTACTATAGATTTTGTACATAAAATGTATAGCACATAATACTATATATACTATATGGAGATTTATATGTAAAATATATAGTAGTATAAATATATAATATTAAATACATACTACTATATATTTTACATATAAATCTCTACATAGTATGTATATTTTATATATACTATATATAGACGTGGATATGAAATCTATAATATGTAATACTATATATA